ACCACAATCCTCAGATCTCAGTCTCCAGAGTAGGTAGGATTAATGGCCAAACTACCAGCACCTGGCCTATTTGATAGTGTTCAAAGGTAATGTTTTCTGTGGGGTAATATTTTGTGGGGAATTCTATTTTAAAATGTTTTCAAGAAAACTTTTAGGTCAGCAAGCATTTAATAAGTATCCACTTTGTACCCATCATGACTCCCTAATTCTGAAATTACAGAGCATTTCTTTTTGTTTCCTCTGGGTTAAGGGCCAGGGATGCTGTTCCTAACTTTGAGGAACTCCGGGGGCGGGGGCAAGTAAACTAGTGGTTATATACAGAGTGATATGACCAGTGCCAAAAATCTTGTCATGCCAGGCACTAAGTAATTGGGCATCAGAGAAAGCAGTTTGCTCTTTAAGTCAAAAAACTGCAGAGCTGATGACATTGCTCAAATGGGAAAGCACCTGCCTAGTTTAAACCTGAATACAAAACAAAAAAACTACTTCAGAAGTGTTATCACATGAGACAGTGTCCTACTAAGGGGATTGGCATTGAACTCAGGGCCTGGGCACTAGGGCCTGGGCACTGTCGCTTAATTTTTTTTGTTGTTGGTGGTAGTGGTTATGGAGCTTGAACTCTGGTTCTGGGCACTGTCCCTGAGCTCTTCAGCTCAAGGCTAGTACTCTACCACTTGAGTACAGGGCCACTTCCAGTTTTCTCGTGGTTTATTTTGGAGATAAGAGTCTCATGGACTTTCCTGCCCGAGCTGGCTTTGAACTGCGATCCTCAGATCTCAGCCTCCTGAGTAACTAGGATTACAGGCATGAGCAACCAGCGCCCAGCTCATCCTTGGCTTTTTCACTCAAGGCTGGCATTCTACTACTTGAGCCACAGTTCCACTTCTGGCTTTTTGATGGCTAACTGAAGATAAGAGTCTCATGGACTTTCCTGCACAAACTTGCTTCCTCAGGATCTAGGATTACAGGCGTGAACCACTGATGTCAGCTGTATATGTTACCATATCCTTCCCTTTACTTGAAAGTGTCAGCCAAGCTATACTGTAATTTACTATACTATTTTATGAACTCAATATTTGTCATTATCCCTACATTACAGATATACAGAGAGGACCAGGAACTTAGCCTATAAAAAAACCTTGGAGACCAGGACTAAGATTAAGCTGGATCTTAGCCCATCTAGGTCCTGAGTTCTCCTCTTCTTCCTTCTCCCTTCTTCTTCCTCTTCTTTTTTTTTTTTTCTGCCAGTCCTGAGGCTTGAACTCAGGGCCTTGGCACTGTCCCTGAGCTTCTTTTTGCACAATGCTAGCACTCTACCACTTGAGCCACAAAGCCACATCCAGCTTTTTCTGTTTATGTGGTACTGAGAAATCGAACCCAGGGCTTCATGTGGAAAAGCCACATTCCCAGCCCTTTTTTTTTATTTTCATTTTTTCTTTTCTTTCTTTTTGTGTGCCAGTATTGAGGCATTAACTGATGGCCTTTAGCTCTTGTTTGGCTTCTTCATTCACAGCTGTCTCTCTATTTGAACCATGCCTCTAGATCTATACCTTCACTTCCCAGCTTTTTGCTAGTTAATTGGGTATAAATGTCTTCCTGAATTGGCTCTGATCTCACATCTCAGCCTCTTGAAGTGGCTAGGGTTATAGATGTGAGCCACCAGCACTCATTCTGAGCAAGTAAAGACCACTATATGAGGGAATTTTTTTAGATAGCATATAAATATGGCCAAGGTACCATGCATTTGGCTGTGAGTTGAGGATTTTAAGCAGCAGAGAATTTCATTCCTGACAAAAAGTTCTAGTGTTAAAAAGTGAGATAACTAACCTTTCTGACTTAAGATCACTGAAGTTTTTCTTGCATTAACCTTCTGCTTGCCATTAGAATATAAAAAGAGCACTGTTGCAGTCAGCAAATAATCATTTTGAGTATTACTGGTGGTGCATGTGTGCGTGCATGTGCGCGCACGTGCACCAGTCCTGGGCCTTCAACTCAGGATTTTATAACTGAGCTTTTTTGCTCAAGGCTAGCACTCTACCACTTGAACCACAGCTCCATCTCTGTACCCCCTTTAATTGGATATGGGAGTGTTCCCCCAAGGCTGGCTTGGATCCTTGATCCTCAGATCTCTGCCTCCTGGGTAGCCAGGATTGTAGGCATGAGCCACAGGCCCAGAGTCTGTACATTTTTAAATTTCCCATTTCACATTTGGTCTGATGAAGATGCCCATAATTAAATTTTTTTTGCTTAGTTACAGTCCCTCTGCCCAATTGATGTACCCTTCCTTGCCCCAAGTAATTGTTCTTAACCTCTAGTACCTTACCTGCTTCTAAGCTCTCACCTTGAACTCGCCAAGAAGTGACCTTCAAGCTCCTTCTACGTACTTAGTCTCTGAGCCCTAGTAATCATTTTCCTTTCACCCTGCAAGGTACCCTGGGGCAGAAATCATCTTATTGAAATCTACAAAACAAAGTTAACAATTGCTTCAGTTATCCAACCTCTCTTACTAATACTTCAAAAGGAACTCTCTGTTCTCCACTTCCCACCTCCATTCCTGAGAAAGCAACTGGTTGGAGTAGTGTGGTAGTTTCAGCACGTGGTTATCCACAGTGATTGGGCAGTAACCAGCTCTCTTCCACCTCCCCACCTTGAGCATATCCGGTTTCAATATTCTGCCTAGAGGGTGGTGGGCAAATTTAAAAAAAATAGTCATGCCCCTCCATTCTGTAGGTGGATTTGTGACTTTGTATTTAATCATTTTTCAACTTTAGCTTTCTTTCTTCTTTTAATCATTTTCACTCCTAATTCCACTGTTTCCCTTCCTCCTGGAGTCTTCCAGTGCTGCAGCTATAACTTTTTTTGTCCTCTCCACCCAGCCCTGCTCCCTTGCCCTCTGGGTAGATGGGGAGGAAGCCCCTGGGGCCTTGTGGAGATAGGCCCGGGTAGCTCTTGTAATCTGAGAAAAGAAGGAAAAAGGCCAAGCCTCTTGAGCCAGCAGCCGACTCCCAGTGGCCTGCCGGAGGATAAGAACCTTGCTCACTCAGCTCCCTCCCTCTTTTATTTCCCCTCCCCTGCTGCAGCAGGGCCCTCCCCCAACCGCACACACGGGCTGCTGGGTAAGTGGCAAGATGGCTCCCCTGCATGTCTCCGGCTGATTGCTGCCGCTCCGCCAGTACAATAGAGCCAGCTACTACCAGCAGCCTGGCCCTCTTCCTCCTCCTCCTCCAGAGAGACCAATCCAGCCGAACTCGGGGTTTGCCGTGAGGACTTAACGCTTATCTCTTAAAAGCCAGATCTATTTTAGCCTCCCCGCTCCTCCACCACCTCCCCTTCCATTACCATTTTTTTGGATCCCGGGTTGCTGCATCTTGATTTTCTCTCTGGATCGGGTGGCTGGGAGGAGGTGGTGGGATCTTGGGTCCAGGAAGGTGGTTTATTTTATTTTGTTTTTATTTTTTGAAATTTTTTAGGATTTTTTTGTTTGGTTTTTGTTATTTCTTCCATTCCAGAAAGGGATAAACAGCACTTCCAGGGGGAGAAAAAAAATCATGTTATCAGAAAGCAAAGAAGGGTGAGAGCTTCACATTTCCCCTTTCCCTACCTCTCTAGCTCACCTCATCTTCCTTATCTTCCTCATGGCTTTCATTCTGTCTTTCATTTTAGTTTGTTTTCAGTCATTCTGCTTTCCCCCTTTGTCCTTCCTGCCGATTTCTAATTGGCCCCAGTTGCCCTCTCTGTGTGGGGAATATGCCTTGAGATTTTGTTTTTGTTTCTGATAAGCCTTTTTTTCTCCCGGATTGAAGCTGTTGAATCGCTTGTTTCTGTGGGGGCCTGTTAGCTGGGGGCACAGTCCCGACTTTCCCCTCCCCCCTCAACCCGTGCATCTCTTCCTGACTGCCCTAGCTGGGGAGGCTGGTCTGACCTCTGAGTGTCAGACAGCCTGTTGGGAATGCTGAATTTTCTGGTGGTGGTTATCACCCTGGGCAAGTTTTGGTTTCTTTCCTTTTTCTTGACATTGGGTCCCTGATCATCTTGATTTGATATTTTTGGTTAGTATTTGTGCTAGGAGTGAGGTTAGAAGTTAGGAATCAAGTCAGAAAATGAAGGTGGGAAGATAGTTTATCTGAAGTGAATCTCTGGGGTTCTTTGCCTGAAATGGGTACTAAACCGTGTAAGAATGGAGGGTGGGTTTGGTGTTGGGGGGTGTCCTGACTGGGAGGCATGCTGTCTCATGGAAGCTGGAATGAGGGAGTGGAAACTGTTTGAGAATCCAGTGTAAGACCAGTTCCTGCACTACTTGGAGCAAGTAAAAGTGGCCTGATTCTATAGGTGCTCTTCTGCAGTTTTAGACTTTCCTTTTAGATGAGAAGAGGAACCTAGTTGAAGTTTGAGCTCTTACCAGCCCCACTCCTCTTGGAATCTCACCCATTCCCCATTTTTTCTGTTACTGGTATCTCCAGATCCTGTGGGTCAGCAAGCTCTTATTAAGCTGTTGATGAGGCACAAACAAGGTCCACTTACTTGCCACAGCCATTTTTGTCCTCACTTTTTTAATGAATCATGCTTCCCTTCGTTTGTCATGCAAGGTCTAGGTGCTCGTGGCCAGGGGATGAGAAGACCCAGGGTTTTAAGCATATCAGCCAATTTTGAGGAACTTTTCAGAAAAGAGCGTTTATTTCTTATTTCCTTCCTGTAAGAGTACTCTGATGCGATACTGCCTAAGAACAGATGGAATCCTAGCCCCACACTTAATAGCTTTATCCCATCTGGGTGGTGGGTGGATAGGTTTGCTGTAATCCGTGCTTTTTTCCCCCCTAAGGAAAATGGTTTCCCACTTTTCCTGTGGCAGCATTGTTTGTAGGCTAATCTGAAAAGCATCTATCCCCACCCCACCCAAGTGATGAGGCATGGGTGTTTCATGGCCCAAAAGCTAATATCTTACTCTCTCTTCCCCTGCTTCTTTCCTGCCCTTCCCTTCCAACCTCTTCCCATTCTGACAGTGAGGAGAAGGAGGAAGTGACCATGGACACAAGTGAAAATAGACCTGAAAATGAGGTTCCAGAGCCTCCTGTGCCTATTGCAGACCAAGTCAGCAATGATGACCGCCCAGAGAGCAGTGCTGAAGATGAGAAGAAAGAGGTAAATAGCCACACCACCTGCTGGGGTGGGTGGACAGACGTGGACCTAGGGGGAAGAGTAGACCATTCTGGTGGTCCCCTCTTACACAGTGGGATAACTTAGGGGATGAGGCAGGGCCCTGGATCAGGATAGGACCAAGGGAGAATTCGCTGGTTTAGCAAGGGAGACCCCTGGTGATGGGCACGGGGCTCTTAGACGTTTCTTTTCCTGTAGTGCAGGAAAGGACAAATAGTGCAGTCCAGATCCATAAAAGTTTGTGGCTAACTGAAAAGTCTGTTAATGGGTCAGCTTTCCTGCTATCTTTGGAAGCTTCTCCTGTGATAACTCCTTGAGCTTTCCCTCCTTTTTAAAAGCCATTAGAGCTCAACGCCATCTAGTGGGCTTTGGTGGTTCTTACTAGCTCAACCATGCTGAGGAATTTTTGTTCCTCATCTGCCCCCCAGTGGTCTCATGACAAAAGAAGTAACTTGTTAGACCACAGCAAACTGGCAAGTCCAAAGGGCCCCTTCTCTATGTCTGTGACCTTCTACTTTGCCTTTTTTTTTTTTTTTGGCATATGTATTATCTTGTGTCCTGTACCCAATTCAGGGGCTCCCCACACCAGAGCCAGCGAAATCTTCCTACCTCTCTAAGTAATAGAATTAGATGGGTTGGGAGTAGAAAAACAGGGTGGGAGGGGAATGTTGTGTGTGTAGCCTTTCTCTGGTGTGTGTTGTGGGGGTGGGGGCCGGTGAAAGTGATTTGATGTGCAGAATATTATTTATTACAAGGTCCTTCTTCCCCGTAAAACTTTGTCCAAGTACCTCATGTACGGTAATCCGCCCGTAAAATATAACCCTGCCCAACTGGCCAATCGCTGATGCCGCCTCTTCCTCTGGACCCACTTGCTGCTACTGAGCTGCCCAATCAGAGCCAAGTCTGCTATCCAGGTGTCTTGGCCAGAGGGGGGCATGTATATGGGCTCATGTGATGGGCCCCCTTTGCCTCCCTGTCTTGCTTACATCAGGAGGCCAAGAAGAGCACTGTTCTGGAGAGACTTGTATTGAGAAAACAAAAAGCATTTGGAAAGGGGTGGACTTGCATCATCTCCCTACTTGGGACACCCCAAGAAGAGCTCATGCCAGTGCTGGGGCGCCTGTCCACATGCCCTTACCCTATTGAGGACTGTGAGTTGCCTTGTTTGCTACAGACTGTTGAGATCCCCATCTAGGGATCAAGAAACCTAAAGAGTCAATGTTTGTGATCACAGTGCCATGCTGTAAAATACTGATGGGGCCCTCGGCTTAAGCTGTGACGACTAGGAGCCCTCCAGAGGAGTCTAGGGTCTGTGCCCCAGGGATGTAATGCTGATGACAGCCCAACCCATGTATCACCACTTGCTCATCAGATGGACTTTCCTTTGGTCCCTGTTGTCCATGGTGAAGGGCAGCATGTTGGTTGCTCCAACTTCTCCTCCATCCCTGGAGGCAGGGGCTCCTTCATCCACCTGACTGGAACCACTGTCTCAGCTGGAGTCCCTGAGGAGATGTCACCCACAGCTCAGAAGAAACGTTTTCTGACCTTGCTGCTGAATGTGTGCCAGGTCCTGGGGATATTCACCTACTATCCCCAGGCTACCTTCATCAGAGGCTCCATGATCCCACTTGGTGAGAGGACCCCCCACCCCAGTTACAGGCAGAGGAAAAAGGGACTCTGGAGTCATCACCTGGATTCCAATTATTGGGTGGTGTTATTGCTGCAGCTTGCCACTGGTGGACACAGGGTCTTGCCTGCCTCTTCATGATAAAAGGCAAGAACCCTTCCTGCTACTCTCAGGCCATCTCATCAGGGACTGCAAGATGATGCCCCTAACAGGGCCAGGACTGATGTTTCTGCCCCTTTTCCCCCCTCTATCCCTCGCTGAGCCTGGCCACCGCCAGTGAACTGTCTTGACATCATGGAAACTGGGCAGCGTCCCCCCACACGTTTCCCTCCCGCCCCCCCTGCGCCCCTGGGAGGACTCTGGCAGTGCCGTGCCGACTACCACGCCGTGCGCCCACCTTTTTTGCCAACCCAACCCCCCACCAATTGCACAGCGCCTAGCAGGGAGGGCTCATTCTGATTGGACCGGCGGTTGACTAGATACAGTACACAGTGAGGTGCGATTGGCTGAACTGAAGATCCCAGGTGTGAGATGGTACCTGGAACATTTGTCATATTCCTAGTTTATTTTCTTCTTTATTTTCTTCTTCTTTTATTTAAATATTTATTTTTTTCCTTTATCTTTTGTTTCTGATTTCTTTGTTGGATTTATTTACTTGGTTCATGTTTCTCCTATTTTAATTGATCTTCTTTTTTTTTTCTTTTTTTTCTTTTTTTTTTTTTTCTCACTAACTTACCCATCAAGAGTGGCCCAGCTAGGGGTCAGGCTGGCCCTTAACAGAGACCAAGGAGACTTGGTTAGACGACACAAACGGGGCTGGGGGTGGATGGGAAAAGATTTCATTAAGAGGGTTCTGCTCTGTCCTTTAGAAGGGTGGTAGAATGGTCTTAGTTTTTCCAGAAATAAGCACCTAAATCTAAAAAATGTTCTGTTCCCTTTTCTGTCTTCCTTCTGTTTTGATCTGTCCGTAGTCTTTACACTGAGTGTTGAGAGGGCGGGAGACTTGCCCATAGCTGACTTCTGGTCCTTGGCAGAGCCCCTAAGGCTTGAGCCCTGGTTGAAGAAGAAATAAGCTCTTGGACACAACCTTCATAAAACCTTCCCTTCCCAGAGACACTTTAAAAATTCTTGTTAGCACTTACTCAAGAACCTCATCTTTAATGAGTGAACCTCATCTCTAATGAGTGATGCAGCCCTAAAAATTAGGGCTGGGGTTGTCCAGGCATCCCAAAGCCATTGTATTGTCAGTGGCTGTTGGGCTAGGTATCGAGAAGAGGGGTTATCTTGGTGAAGTTACCATCCCAGAGGTGATTTTTCTTATTTCCTCCTGTTTTCCTTGGATTAGCAAGGACTTAAGAGAACTAGATAACTCAGTTCTGGGTACAGCCTGTCAGACTTGTGTCTTCATCTCTAGAAGCAGAAGAAGGCATGATCAACATCCTCAAAGGGCTGGAAGGCCCCTTCCTCTTCCAGCTTATTTCTGGTTAAGCTAATACACAGATGTAATATGGAGTAAATGACTTTTCCCTGCTATGATGTTTGGTTTTATTTTATTCCTCTAACTTGCATTGATTCTGCTTCGTTTTGGCCGTTTGCCGCTTCTGTTTTGGTCTCTGTGTTTCTTTCTCTGTCTTTCTGTGTGTCTTAGAGCCTCTTTGAAGACTGCCCCATTTAACCTCCTCCCCCCCCTCTCTGTGGGGTGTCTCTCTTTCTCTTCCCCTCTCCCCCTTATCTTCTCTATACAGAGTTTGCTGCCCAAATCATTCAAGAGGAAGATCTCCGTTGTCTGTAAGTCTAGCCCTGAATCCCCATAAAAAGTCAGTACTCATAGAAAAATGAAGTCCCATTTTCTCCTTGGCTTTTCTTGAGTACCTGCTTTTAACCCCCTCTACCTAGCAAGTACTCACCTTCCCAGCATATGTATGGTTCCATTTTTAAATTTAAAAACTTGCTGGGCTCTGGTGACTCAAAACTGATACACTAGCCACCCTGGAGGCTAGGCGCTGAGAATTGAGGTTCACGCAGCAAAGTCTCGAGATTCTTATCTCCAGGTAGCCAGCAAGAAGCTAGAAGTCAAGGTGTGGTTCAAATGATAGAGCACTAGCCATGAGTGGCAAACTGAGCTCAAGTCCCAGTATTAGTGCACGAGCGGGCACGCACACACGCACGCACGCGCGTTACTTTTAAGACAGGGTTTCGCTGTGTAGCCCTTATGGGCCTTACCCAGGATGATGTTCCTGCCTCTTCTTTCAAGTAGTTACAATTACAGTGTGCTACCATGCTTGGTTCGTAGAGGAATTTTTTTTTTTTTGGTCGGTCATGGGGCTTGAAATTTGGGCTTGGGCACTGGCCCTCAGCTCCAGCTCAAGGCTAGCATTCTACCACTTGAGCCACAATGCCACTTCTGGTTTTCTGAGTAGTTTATTGGAAATAAGAGTCTCGTGGACGTTCCTGCCAGGGCTGGCTTTGAACCACAATTCTCAGATTTCAGCTTCCTGAGTAGCTAGGATTATAGGCGTGAGCCACCAGCGCCCAGCTCATGTATTTTTTTTTAACCAATTTTTGATTTGTTTACCAACTTGTGGGGTATCTTCTTGGCAATAATGGGAATTAAACCCAGGACTTTGGACATGTTGTTAGGTAAATATTCTGCCATTTTAGTCATGCCCCAGTCTCTTTTGATTTTGAGGTAGGCTGACCTTGAACTGGAGGTCCTCTGCCTCCGTCTCTCAAGTAGCTGAGATACAGGTGAGCACCATCATGCCCAACAGTTTATAATTTATTCTAAGAAGATATCTAAGAAAATGAAAAGGAATGTACCTCGAACATTTTTCCTGTCAGGAATTCTAGATTGTAAAAGCATGATAGATGTTTATGATATCACATAGTCATCTTGTTTTGTCTGCAGTCCCAGGTTTCTTAGACTTTGCCCCCTACTTCAGCTATTTCTACCTACCACTTAAATGTAAACTGCTCATCAGACTGGTTACTCCTCCCTTTTTTGCTTTTAGAGACATAGTTTCCATCTGTCAGAAAGCCACTCCATCCCTTTGTTGTTCGCTCTAAAGCTATGGTTTCCCTGGCCCCCAAATACTATTTCCCTAAGTTATATTTTATTGAAACTGCTCCCAAAGATGACCTGTGGGTGTGGTATGAACCAGTACAGGGTCTGAGACCATCTAATTGTTGAATCCTATGTCTTGGGGACAGCAGCTACCAAGGGAGTACCAGCTGGAAACAGTGACACAGAGGGGGGCCAGCCTGGTCGAAAGCGACGTTGGGGAGCCAGCACAGCCACTACCCAGAAGAAACCCTCCATCAGTATCACCACTGAATCACTCAAGGTGAGGTGGAAGGAGCCAGGAAAGGGAGGGTAAGACATGTTGAGGTGGGAGTAGACATGGGCCCAGTGTAACGGGGTGGGGGGTATCTGTGTCCCAGAGCCTCATCCCCGACATCAAACCCCTGGCGGGGCAGGAGGCTGTTGTGGATCTTCATGCTGATGACTCTCGCATCTCTGAGGATGAAACGGAGCGTAATGGCGACGATGGGACCCATGACAAGGGACTGAAAATATGCCGGACGGTCACTCAGGTAAAGCTTCTGTACCCCAGCACCAGGGGAGAGGAGGCATTGGGCACAAAGTAGGCAGCTGAGGAGCTAAGTAAGGTAAAATTCTAGAAGAGAACTAGTACAGAGGGTTGGGTTAATTGGTATTTCCTGGATCGTAGTACCAAATCCACCTGTTGCGTGTTGTCAATAAAGGTTTATTGGAATACAGCTACATCTGTTTGTTTGCTCTCTTCTGTGTGGCCACGTAGGAGATGGAGTACCAGAAATCAGAAGTTTGAAAAGGCTCACAAAACCTAGTATTTACTGTTTTATACAAAAAAAAAAAAGTAGACTCCTCCCTTGTTTTCCTTACAACAAATTAGGACATTGATGATGTGTGGAATATGGTGGAGGTGAACAAGGGGCTGGAGAGAATATGCTAGAGTGGTATTTGACAGACCCTCTGTTACCTGATTGATTTATAGGTAGTACCTGCAGAGGGGCAGGAGAATGGACAAAGGGAAGAAGAGGAAGAAGAGAAGGAGCCTGAAGCAGAACCTCCTGTACCTCCCCAGGTGTCAGTAGAGATGGCTTTGCCCCCACCTGTAGAACATGAAGTGAAAAAAGGTAGGTGAAATGTCATCACAGCTCCAAGAATTCCCAAAGCACTCCATTTGGACTTCTTTTGCTTTATGCTTTCTACCTTGTGTTCCAGTTTTTTTTTCTTAACGTTATACATTATCTCTTCCTCCTCCTCCTCAGTACTAAGCTACTGAAGCTAGAATTGAATCTGTAATCTCTGCTTCTCCATAATGGAGTATAGACAAGCATTGTAGTTTGCCCTTTATGGATACTCAGACTTCATAAAGAGAGACTGCTTGGTAGAAAATTTATAGGAGAATCCTATTGCTTTACTGAAAACTGGTCATGTGCTTTCTTTGGTAGTCACTTTAGGAGATACCTTAACTCGGCGGTCCATTAGCCAGCAGAAGTCTGGAGTTTCCATTACAATTGATGACCCAGTCCGAACTGCCCAGGTGCCCTCCCCACCCAGGGGCAAGATCAGTAATATTGTGCATATCTCCAATTTGGTAAGTCATTGCTTCTCAGATTCCAGACTTCTTAAACATATAGAATTGAGTTTTGGCCAGCTGCTGGTGTCTCATATCTATAATCCTAGCTTCACAGGAGGCTGTAATCTGAGGAACATGTTCGAAGCCAGCCAGGGCAGGAAAGTCCATGAGACTTACCTTCAATTAACAACAAAAGGCCAGAAATGGAGCTGTGGCTCAAGAGGTAGAGCACTAAAAACTCGGACAGTGCCCAGGCCTTGAGTTCAAGCCCCAGAACCAGTTTAGTTTTTTTTTTTTTTTAATTTTTATTTATTTTTAAACAATTGAGCTTTAGGCTGGGTGCCAGTGGCTCATGCCTATAATCCTTACTCAGGGATGCTGGTATCAGGATTTCGATTCGAAGCCAGCCTGGACAGGAAAATCCAAGGGACTTCCCTATATCCAGTTAACCACAAAAAAAGCTGGAAGAGTTGTGGCTCTTCAGCCCAAGCAAAAAAGCTAAGGACAGCATTCAGGCTTAGCATTCAGGCATTGGTACTAGCAAACGTGCAAGCATGCACGCACACATAAGTTTGAGCTCTAGAGTCATGCTTCTGAAGCTCAACTCCTAGATCTACCATTTTCTCACTTGCTGATTTTGAGTGAATTGCTTAGCTTATTTTCTCATTTTGAAAATAGCGGGGGAAGGCCTGGGGACTACTTGCATGGTGTTTTTTGTGTTTTTTGGTTTTGGGTTTTTGTGTGTGTGTGTGCGTGGATCATGGGCCCTGAACTCTGGGCCTGGGCGCTGTCCGTCAGCTCTTCAGCTCAAGGCTAGCGCTCTGCCACTTGAGCCACAGCGCCACTTCAGGTTTTCTGGTAGTTTATTGGAGATAAGAGTTTCATGGCTCTTCCTGCCCGGGCTGGCTTTGAACCATGATCCTCAGATCTCAGCCTCCTGAGTAGCAAGTGGCATGAGCCACTTGTGCCCTGCTTGCATGGTGTTTTAAAAATTATATACAGGGTCTGAGAAGGTGGCTCAGTGGTAGAGCGCTAGCCTTGAGCTGAAGAGCTGAGGGACAGTGCCCAGGCCCAGAGTTCAGGCCCCACAACCGGACCCAAAAAAAAAAAAAGATTATATACATAATGTCCTAATCTCTATGACCTCAGGCAAACTAGCTACATCAGGAAATCTTAAAAGGCTGGATTTGTGACTGTCCTTACCTTCTTCAAGATCTTGAAAGTCCATTTTCATTGGCAGGTTCGTCCCTTCACTTTAGGCCAACTGAAGGAGTTGTTAGGGCGTACAGGAACCTTGGTGGAAGAGGCCTTCTGGATTGACAAGATCAAATCTCATTGCTTTGTAACGGTAAGAGGATGAAACTGATTCTATAGGTTGTGGCACATATTTCCTTTTATGATCAGTGGGGGCAGATTTAAAGGTGTTAGAGGGGTGAAGATACACTATACCTCTCTGCCTTCTCCTTCCACTTAGTATTCAACTGTAGAGGAAGCCGTTGCCACCCGCACAGCTCTACATGGGGTCAAATGGCCCCAGTCCAATCCCAAATTCCTTTGTGCTGACTATGCTGAGCAAGATGAGGTAAGAAACCGGAGGGAAGGGACAAGGAGGCCATTTTGTGTTATATTCCATCTGATATCTTAGCCAAATTTGTAGTCATCCAAATTCTGTTCTTGCATCTTTTCTTCCCTTTTGGTTCCTTTCATTGGAATTGTGGTGCCTTAAAGCATCTGTACATCTGGTACCTAGGTTCCTTCAGTGGGAATGTCATCATCTCCTACCTGACACTGTCCTTGTCCCCTCTGCCTGCAGCTGGATTATCACCGGGGCCTCTTGGTGGACCGTCCCTCTGAAACAAAGGCTGAGGAACAGGGTATGCCACGACCCCTGCACCCACCACCACCACCCCCAGTCCAGCCACCACCCCATACGCGGGCAGAGCAGCGGGAGCAAGAGCGAGCTGTGCGAGAACAGTGGGCAGAGCGGGAACGGGAAATGGAGCGGCGAGAGCGAACTCGATCAGAGCGTGAATGGGATCGGGACAAAGTTCGAGAAGGGCCTCGGTCCAGATCACGGTCCCGTGACCGCCGCCGCAAGGAACGTGCAAAATCTAAAGAAAAGAAGAGTGAGAAAAAAGGTAGTTAGCTGTGGGGGCACAGAGACCCAAATGGGATGAGTCAGAGGGTGGTGCATGGAATCTGATTCACTTTCTCACCTCAGAGAAAACCCAGGAAGAGCCACCTGCTAAGTTACTGGATGACCTTTTCCGTAAGACTAAGGCAGCTCCTTGCATCTATTGGCTCCCATTGACTGACAGCCAGGTATGTACTCTCCTTTGGGCCTGCTCAGTGGTAAGCAAGGCTGTCAGGAGAGTGGGGAAGATGAGGGTGGGCGGTTATTGAGACTGAGGGGGTCCAGATGTTAGCTTCAGATAATAAGTGAAGAAACTAAGCATCAAGAACCAGAGTTGGCCAGGTACTGGTGGAAGCTGAGATTTGAGGATTGTGCTTCAAAGACAGCGTGGACAGGAAAGTTCATGAGACTATTATCAATTAACCACCAAAAAGCAGGAAGTGAAGCTGTAGTTCAAAGTTATATGTAAAAGTATATAAATGGTAAAACAGGTTCCAGCTGGGGTGCTGGTGGCTTGTGCCTATAATTCTAGCTAATCAGGAGGCTGAGGTCTAAGGATTCTGGTTCTGAGGCCAGCCTAGGCAGGGAAGTCCATAAGACTCTCTTATATCTCCAATTAACCACCAGAAAACCAGAAGTGACACTGGCTGAAAGTGGTAAGAGTACTAGCCTTGAGCAAAAGAGCCCAGGAAGAGCGCCCAGGCCCTGAGTTCAAGGCTAGTACTCTGCCATTTAAGCCCAGCTCCACTTGAGACTTTTTGTGGCTAGTTGGAGATGAGAGTCTTACCAGGTTGGGCAACAGTGGCTCATACCTGTAATCCTAACTACTTAAGATGCTGAGATGTGAGGATCTCAGTTTGAAGCCAGCCTGGGCAGGAAAGTCCCTGAGAGACTCTTAGTCTCCAATTAACTACTTAAAAAGCCAGACAGAAGTGGCTTTGTGGGGGCTGGGAAGGTAGCTCAGCGGTAGAGTACATGCCTTGCAAGCATGAGGTCCTGGGTTCGATTCCTCAGCACCACATAAACAGAAAAGGCCAGAAGTGGTGCTGTGGCTCCAGTGGTAGAGCCCTAGCCTTGAGCTGAAGAGCTGAGCGACAGCGCCCAGGCCCAGAGTTCAGGCCCCATGACCGGCAAAAAAAAAAAAAAAAAGAAGTGGCTTTGTGGCTCAAAGTGGTAGAGCAAAAAGAGCTCAGAGACAGCGCCCAGGCCAAATTCAGGCCTCATGACTGACCAAAAAAAAAGTCACCAAACCTTCCTACCTGGGACGGTTTCAAATTGTAATCCTCAGATCTCAGCTTTTTTTTTGTCGTGGGGCTTGAACTTTGGGCCTGGTGCTATCCCTCTTCAGCTCAAAGCGAACGCTCTACCACTTGAGCCACTGCACTACTTCCTGTTTTCTGAGTGGCTTATTGGAAATGAGTCTCACGGACTTTGCTGCCCAAGCTGGCTTTGAACTGCGATCCTCAGATCTCAGCCTCCTGAGTAGCTAGGGTTACAGGTAAGAGCCAGCTTAGATCTCAGCTTCTTGAGCAGTTGAGTGACCCACCATGGACTGAGGTGGCTCAGTGGTAGAGCGCTTGCCTTGCATGCATGAGGCCCTGGGTTCGATTCCTCAGCACCACATAAACAAAAAGAAAAAAGCCAGAAGTGGCGCTGTGGCTCAAGTGGTAGAGTGCTAGCCATGAGCTGAAGAGCTGAGGGA